AGGGAATCAGAAGGCAAATGGGAGAAATCATCACAAATTGAACATTAATTCTTTATTTCCTGGGCCCTGTTGTTTTCACTCACCATCTTCTTACTCCGTAGGGGACAGTTGCTTTAAATTCCACATCAGGCTTATCAGTGCTGCAGCACTGTCGTCCTGTTTGCCTACACAGCAGTTCCAGCACAATGCAAACACAAGCCACTGGCCTTGCCCCTGTACTAAAGATCAGACAATGTCATCATTGGCAAGATAATCATCATTCACCTGCAGGATCAGATGCAAGCCCATGAATTCAAGGGGATTGGATTTCATTGGTCTTGTGTCCACAGCTAGTCTGCTGAAGCTTCCCTCCAGGATCTATGCCATTAAATGCCTGTGCCATTTATAGTTCATATATCCTAGTCCACTCCCTTGAATGCCTTTCATCCAGTCTGGGCCATGTCTAGGCTTGAAAAACCTGCTTGCAAGGCAAACTGTGGTCATGAAACAGACAGTTCATCTCCTTTTGCATTGCTTGAGTCCCAGGACTCACTTCATCAGATAAAAAGGTGAGTAAAGCTCTCCTCTTACAATAGCAAAGCAAAGCAAAAGCCAGCAAGCTTCAGGACCTACTACAAATACCTGTCGCTGGGCAGCAGTCCTCCCACGTGCTTTAGGCATCTACAGCAGGATGTCTACCATAGGGAGGGAGCCTCTAGACCTGTATTATTTTCCACTGACTACAGCAAGAGCCAGGATGACCGGCTTGGACTAACATGACATTAAGACAGCCAAAACCAGGTGAGATGGATCCCACCCACCAGATCCAGAAATGTTCTTAAGTGCTACGCATGACATTGCTCCCAATCTGAATAAATAGTTGAGTCAGGCAAAACATTTTTCTTTTCTTTCATAATAGCAGAGCATCATCTTGAATTCATTTCAGAAAATAAAACAAACAAAAAAAATGTTCTCCACTGGGAAACAGAACATCCTTACATAATGTGTGATTCAAATGACAGGCTGCTGGGAAATACTGACATATGAAGAGAGTCATGCTGTATGCAGAAGAGGAAAACACGTCAGCTTATCTTCATGTAACCTGGACAGGAACATATGGCTCATATATGAAGAGATTAATATATTAACCTGTTTGCATGCATGCCGATGCACACCCTGTGCAAGAGCAAATTATGTTACCCTCAATGTGAAAACACATACGCACAAACAAACTGACATGGAGCCCAGAGAGGAATGAACAATTAATATAAATGAATGCATACTCATACACACAGGTTGCACATTGAAAAAGAATAATCTATAAAGTCTAAGAACTCTAAAAAACTGTGTTCAGACTCAGAAAACAGCCAGTGAAATAGCCTGGTGACCAACGTAGCGACAGTTTGGTTCCCAGCAGGTGGAATTAGAAGGCTGAAATCAACAAATGGCATAGCAAAACGCACTTGCTGAAGGTATCACCTTGATATGTATCAGGCAAAATGAAACATGACAGCCATGCACTGACCGCAAACCTTGGGAAGCTTGTTCTGCCTCAGAAGCTGTAAGAGCAAAAAGGGCGCTGGAATCATGGCTTTCGCAGGGCAGAGGCACTGAGCAAACTTCATTGGGCCACGGCCAGGTCATGGCGCTGATGACAAGTATGAAAATTATTTATTTACTCTGCTGGAACTGTCAGATACAGAGACTAGAGATGTCAAGTAGCAGGCAGAAGGATGAAACTGAAAGGTTGTTAGCCATGATGTTGGCCCCACAATTTCTGGGGCAGGTCTCAGCTCCTCGGCACTGCAGAAGGATGCTCGTCCCAGGGGCTGCCATGGGGTCCCCAAGAGGGGTCAGGAACCTGCAGCCACCAAAGTCGCAGGAAGATACCACCCCATTCTGAGATGAGTGGCCACTGCAAGCCATATTAGTGCAAAATGAGGTTATTCAGAAATTAGACGTGGAGAAAGTGCTGGAGTTAATTTCACTGTATGGAAACTCACCTGGATCCCACCAAGTAAACATGGATGGGATTTCTAGGTCCAGAACAAGGAATACTTAAGGGGATTTATCAAGGAGAATGTGACAAATGATTGTGGACTGAAAAACAATGGAGAAGTAATATTTTCTACATCAATAATAAAGACTTTTTTCTCTGCTTTTACCTGAGCAGATCAATGGAGGTTACAAATGTTCAGAATAAAGCAATACATCCTAACCTAAGTTCACTGTTCAAAATGGCAAGAGTTTAGGCAGAGAGCCAGGTTTAATAAAAATGAAATAGAATCCATGGTTTGACTAAATCATTCTTCTGGATTTCTAGACAACATTATAAAGTGTTAGCAGCTACAGTACAAAGCACACAGAGCGCATGATTCATGTCTGTTTTACTCCAGTTGTACACTGGCTGAACATCCCCAAACTCAATAAATACTCCAGTGAATCAGACACGAAACCTGTCAAGAAAAAAGGAAACACAAAACACAACAATCTCTGTTTAAAATTTGATTATTATTGTAGTACGTGGATTCTGAGAGTGCAATGACGGATCTTTGTGTCAGGCAAATTGCTACCAACCTTGAGGCTTGATTGTGATTTTTGTTTTTCCTTGCTGCTCTTCCTAAAGCTCCCTGGTCCTTGAGTCATGTGAAGGTGGGGTTTTTAAAAGAGACTCTCTGCCCTTCATTGGGCTGCTGATTAAATCTGAATAGTAAAGTTGTGAACTGCGAGAGACAAATAAAATGAAACCATGTTTTTGTCATCATTGTTTTCAAACTCTTCTGATTTTAAGCCAATGTGAGCCTGGAAAGCCTTGATTCATCATTTTGTAGAGCCTAGAGCACACACTGACCTGGCGTGTCTGTGGTCAAGATTTAATATTTCAGAGTTAGATATTGCCTGTTAGACTCTGAAACAGTTAAAATTAAAGGAGCATGACCTAAATAAAGGCAGTAGAGGCCAACATGGAAAATAACAAGACAAACCAGTAGCACAGATCTACCTTGATGATTTAAAACCTCACTTTGCCGGATTTATTGCAGAGGCCATTAACTGCTATGCCCAACTACAAAAACTAATGAGACCATTAAGGGGAAAACTAAGGAAAGACAGAGACAACTTGACTTCTTTTGTAACTTGCTGCTTGTAACTTGATTGTTAAACTGTTAGCATTGCCATTTGTGGTGGTTTCCCACTGATGGGCAGCTGAACTCCACATTTGCTCTCTCATTTGCCCTCCTCAAAGCAAGAGGGGGGGAGGAAATATGGTGGAAAAGTGTTGAGATAAGAACAAGGAGATCGCTCACCAGTTACCATCATGGGCAAAAAACACTCAACATAGGAAGATTAATATGTTATTACCTATTACTAACAGACTAGAACAGTGAAAATCTAAATGCAAACTAAAAATACCTTCCAACCCAAGTGTTGCAGAGGAACAGGGAATGGGGGCTGCAGTCAGTCCCTGAGGTCCACCACTCCTTCATGGTCCCTCTCTGCCCCTGCTCCCCGTGGGGTCCCTCCCACGGGATGCCATCCTTCCCGAACTGAGCCAGTGGGGGCTGCCCACAGGCAGCAGCTCTTCAAGCACTGCTCCTACATGGCTCGGTACCACAAGGTCCATCCCCCAGGAGCAAACTGCTCCAGCACGGGTCCCCCACGGGCATCATGCATCCCCCAGACCCCCTGCTCCTGCGCGGGCTCCTCTCCACGGGCTGCAGCTCCGGCCCGGGGCCTGCTCCTGTGGGGGCTCTCCGTGGGCCACAGCCTCCTCCAGGCCACAGCCACCTGCTCCACTGGGGGCTCCTCCACTCATGGGGGGGCTGCAGCGTGGAGATCTGCTCCGTGTGGGACCCATGGGCTGCAGGGGGACAGCCTGCTCCACCAGGGGCCTCTCCACGAGCTGCAGGGGAACTGCTGCTGTGTGCCTGGAGCACCTCCTGCTGCACTGACCTTGGGGTCACATTTTCTCTCTCCCTCTCCCATTTTCTCACACCTCTCTTCCAGCTGCTGTTGCACAGCATTTTTTTTTTCATAAATCTGCTCTCCCAGAGGCCCAACCAGTGTTGCTCTCTGGCTCAGCTCTGGCCAGCAGCAGGTCCCTTTTGGAGCCGTCTAGAGCTGGCTCTGATCTGACCTGGGACAGCTGCTGGGCTCTGTTGACAGAGGCCACTCCTGCAACTCCCGCACCACCAAAATCTTATCAGGTAAACCCAATACACCTTTTAGTACATATTTGCTGGATTTTGGTAATCTTGTTGCCTGGACTTTGGAGCTATTAATACTTGGTCATGGAACAATCTCCTCCGAGCCAATGCAACAGAGAGCTCAGTGTGCTGGGAAGAAATAAGGGCTGGATTCTCTTGATAAGAATCATGCTAAAGGCCATGATTCCTGTGTTGAAAGAAATGATAGGAAACATTTAGCTAATGAAATTCAGATTAGTGAGATATCAACAGAGAGTTTTTGAAGTTGCTTGTTGTTAAGTGTAAAACATATCTGACAAACAGCTGTCATCAGCACTGATTCATAAATCAGTCTGCAGCTTGCAGCTAACAATTCTGCTCATATTGTCCTCATTTTCCTGAAGTATAAGATGTTCTGCAGTACTCTGAAACAGTCCAATACAATTTGTAGATTATAGGATGGGTTTATGCTTGGAGGTTTTCTGATGATGTTGGCTCTAAGAGGTCTTCTTGGGACACCAGCAGCCCAGGGCCCTGAGGATTGGCTGAGCAGCTGCCTTAGGAGCCCAGTGATCCTAAAAAGACTCAAAATGGGTGCCACGGGGATGGGGGGGGGGGGGGTGGGAACACTCACCTATTGTTGATTCTGAACCTGAGCTTCTAATTTTAATCATTGCATTCAGTTTCACAACCAGAGGTCTGCTCTGTGTGCCCTAATATTCAGTGCACACACTGTGCACTCAGTACACACATTTCTAGGTGTGTGCAAATGAGGGCATCAGTATTCACACACAAGGCTAGATATCGGTTTTAACATCATCTTACTTTATTTTTCAGATGAATTTTAAAGCCAATCTTCAATCCAAAGTTGTACTCATATGCTTCAGATGAGATTCATTTTGGACTTGTGGGCAGCAGAAAGTGACAGTAAGTAGTTCTGTGCTGGGTTTTCTCTTTTGGTGATTATTTTGTAAGGTTTGGAAATGTTACAGTAGAGCTTCCAAATCAGCAGGTATATAATGACTGTTTTAAACTAAGCAGAAATAGGGGCTTTTGCTATAAAGACGTAATCATCTGCAAAAATGTAGATGTTGAAAATTGAAGGACCTATGGTAAGACTTCATTAGCATGTCAAAGTATTTATGGTTGTTCAGAGGAATGAAGTTTAGATGGTTTTCCACCAGCATAGCCATCAGTGTATGAGTGTGGGGTGATGATGGAAGCTGCACAGTTCTGGCTTCCTCCACAAAACTAAATCCATCCCTGCTCTTCTGGTTGTTAAGTGAGTACGGTAGGTCTAATAAAAACAAAATTCTTATCTGTACAACTTTAACCTCACATAGGTTAAAGTTGTACACCTCACAGGCAAAACTTCCTCCATTAGCTTACAGACTGCCAACCTGAAAGCTATTAGATTAGAATTAATATCACTTGGTGGCTTTCCATGTTTGAGAAGAACAAAGACCCCTGCCCTTTCTGAGTATGCCATCAAGAAAGATGCTAGCATCTTCTAGCAGTGAATGTGTCTATCAGACACATTCACACTGTGACTCCTATTTTTTGAAAAAATTAGTTTAGTCTAAAAGCATAAAGGCCTTGTTTGTATCCTCTACAATGTGGAGAGAGAATAGCAATGAAATGGCAAGGCTCTGTCGGACACTCGGAAGACATCCTCTCCAGATCTTCTTTACAGCGAGTTTTTTACTTTTGGTCTTTGAGCTACAGAAAAGATAAGAGGTGACAGGAGCTGCTGTCACTTTCGGTTGACAGTGCTTTGCCAGGTCAGCGGCTTCAAGCTCAGGCTTTGCAGGTGCCAGGGGCAAAGTTGAGACCCTTTGCTGTCTCAACCTATTTCTTCAATGAAGCAGGGTTCACCTGCTCTGGTGGAGATTTTTCTGCACCTGGATTGCTGTTCTCATACCTTTAAGAGTATTTCCACCTCCAGGTGTTGGTGAGAACTGGAGACCTCCTGTAGCCAAAGGGAGTACGTTTCGTTATAGCTATGCCACGGCTGTGTTACAAGGGTCAACAACGTGATCATAGTTTGTGGGATATGCATATCATATTTTTAACTTCTGTTACACACAATCCAGTGTTTTGCTGCTGTTACAGTTGGAAGACTTTCAAAAAATGTTGTGTAAAATGGAAAGCTTGCAAAAAAACTTTCATTCCAGGCTCATAAAGGAACATTTTGCTTCTGTGTTTCATTAGAAGGCAAAGGTTCAGAAAGTCACCCATATAGCTGGAAAAAGCCTTGGGTACTTTCGGGACAAGAGCAGGAGAACTTATGAAAAGAAGAGCCACCTTGTGAGTTGCTTTACACCTGTATCATTTTGTAACCGTTTTCTTATGATGAGAGACAAAATCTGAGTGGGGAGCAGTGAGCCATTTGATCTTTAATGCTCCACAGATGATAATTTGTAGATCTTCCTTATGACCAGTTACCATCTTCTGTCCATAGCAGTAGGTATTCACAGTCAACGGTATTTCTAGTCCTTCTCTGACCCACATTTTTAAATTTCATAGCATTCAGTAGGTCAGTAGTGAAGAAAGGGGCCTGCTTAGAACCTCAGTATTTTCCATAAATCAGCAACATCAGTATTATTTATTAACTTCAGAATTCTTGAAAGGTATTTTAGGTTAACAGAAAACAAGCTTTTATATGAAGTTAGAAAAGCTCTGCACATTTGCCTAGCCAGGGCTATAGTTCTTCAGCAGAACTTCATATATGAACTCATGGCAAATGCAGCTTTCATTTCATTCTTAACAGGGGATAGACAAATCTATAGATAGATAAAAATCTATAGATAGATAAAAAATCTATAGATAGATGAAAAGCTAGCTTTTTATTATCTCCCCTCCAGTGGATACCAAGCACCTATGCTTAAAATTGATATATTTTTTTTAATATTTTAAGCATGAGTACCCTGGGGCTCTGTGGCAACCCTATAAATCACAGCCTATTTGCCTTCTTAAAGAACTTTTTTCTTTTTTCCAAGCAATCAATGAAGGAAACGTCACTCAGAAATCAAGAAGTTCTTTCTGCCAGACAATATCCTCTGCTACCTTGCTGATCACCTCATTCCTGCTACAGAAACAGACAATGTGGAGTTGAGGTGAGTCCATAGTGAAATATTTTATTTATATATAAGCAAGAGCCTTTGATCTCTTCAATTAGGTACCAGTGTTTGCAGTCTGTCTTTCCTAGACACCCTGCCAAAGGAGAAAAGTTTCACCAGAAGACAATGCCATGTACCTAAGCTGAACTTTCCTTCTGAACTGCTCTATGAACGTTACCTGCACCCAACAAAACTGCTTCAAAGAAGTTTGTTGTTTTTTTTCTCAGAATGGAAGTTCAAAGCCAAATAGCCTCAAGAATCACAAGCCAGATTCAGTATTCCAATAGCTGCTGTTGTATTTTTTCCATCCAAAATAGCTTGAGATAAATCAAAATATTCTGCAGCAACTTTTTAATTTCATTGTAATTGTAAATTAAAAAGCTAGCTGCAAATTAGTTTCTACAGTATTGAAATAATTCACAATTATCATTTCAGCTTTTCTGCTTCATAAAACATGCATTTTCACATGCTTTGCTATGATCAGTTACCTAAAAATATGGGAATTCCTACAGAGCTGGAGTTCCCTTTTACAGCCTGCCTTGGGGCTGGCTCTTAAAATGTGAAAGATAAGAAGAAATCTTTGCACAGATCCCTCTCTCCAGAGGACACTTCTTTGGGGAACCTTGTGTAAACAAAACTAACACTGATCAGGCAGTCCTGGGACTGAAAAAAAAAAAAAAAAAAAAGATAAAAAAGCTTGCTTTACAGAATGATGGAACCACAGAATGGCTGAGGTTGGCAGGGACCTCTGGAGGCCATCTGATCCAACCCCCTTCTCAAGCAGAGACACCCTGAGCTGACTGCCCAGGACCACATCTGCGTGGCATTTGAAGATCTCCAAAGAGGGAGACTCCAGGACCTCTCTGGGCAGCCTGTGCCAGTGCTCAGTCAGCTGCACATAGCACAGCAGTGCTTCCTGATGTTCAGAGGGAATCTCCTGTGTTCCAGTTTGTGCCTATTGCCTCTTGTCCTGACACTGGGCACCACTGAAAAGAGCATGGCTCTATCTTCCTTGCATCATCCCTTCAGGTATTTACATACAATGTATGATTTATGTATTTATGAAGTCCTGGTTGCCATAATTCCACTGACTTTAGCTGGAGCAGTTCTGAACTTTGTGTAAGTGTATGCAGTTCCTACCTCACATGTAGCTTTGGAGAACTGAGCATCCTCCACTGAGCACTAAGCACTATCGGCAGGGATCCTCTTCAAGAAAAGTCGAAGGCATCCCCTACCCTGCCAAACAGACTTGGACCTGCCTGGGACAGATTTCGACTTTCAAAATGGAGATATTTCTCTGGAAAACTTACGTAATGTAGCTGAATCTTCTAAATCTCTATGATTCAGAAGAGGATAAATTCTACCTCCTGTGTGCATTTGTGCATTAGTAACTATGTGGGCTTTCACACTGTCTAGTGAAGGGATAGTGTGTGGCACAGCACATCTGCCATGCTGTGCCCTGCATCTCACCTTCACTTGAGGCACACTGCTGTCTGGTGTCGCATGCTTGCCAGGTCCAAGCCAAGCCACCTGGAGTTGCTGTAGGAGATGAGAATAAGGCCTTTCCCTCTCACTGCCTCAATACCAACCACTTCTGGTAAACAACTGACCCATACAGATAGCCTGTTTCGGGAGTCACTGGACATAGGTAATAACCCTCTTAACTAAGACTGTGGAGAGAAGAAAATCCAGGCTTTACTGGTAGGAATGATGTATATCATAGAGCTTAGGGAGGGTGGCTTATAAATGAATAGCTGCTTTCTCAGAAAGTATTAAATTATTGTGGAGAGCTGCTGGCAGCACTGTGTACTGAGATGGATAAAAATCAGAGTCAGAGCTGGGATGTGTCATAAGGAATTTAATTACTAGATTTCTGGCTATCAGTGTCAGAATTTTGATTGGCTTCTCAATGGAAAAAAAAAAAAGGAATAACTAATGTTATTGATGTAGAATTAATGTTGTTTTAATTAGAAATAACAGTTTAATTAAAAATGATGGCTAACTGTTCACTGTAAAAGTGCCATGATTGTTATACTCTAACAAAATATTTGTGCTTGAAAGTGGATAATACTAGAACAACACCTGCTTTTTACAAGGCACCTTTTATCAGTAGATCTCATTAGTATGACCCACTATGAATAGGATAATCTTACAAAAGCACTTGGAAATGTTTATTAAACATTAATGAGTTCTGTCCACAGCCCCTGGGGGGAAAAAACATGCTCTTATAACAATTTGCCAGTTGGATAAACTGAGGCAGGTGGTTTATGCAAATTATTAGAGGTCAACACAGAAAAATAGCACCTCGTGCACCCCGAATGTACCTGTCCTCACCAAACAGTTTCCGCACACTTTGCATATGTATTTTATTGAATTGAATTTACAAAGACTCTTCTAAAATGCTGCTGCCACAGCTGCAGGCAAGGTAGCATCTGGAAAAATATACAATAATACTCTTATTAAATATGAATACATTCAAAATACGAGGCAGGCATCATGGCTCTGTAGAAAGTCCATCTTCAGAGCCACTGGAGTTTGGACACAGGTTATGAAGTGGAAAGATGGATTAACTGCTGAGAACAGAAACTTCTGTTCCATATCCACCTCCTTATTTCATCCCATATTCCTCCTTTTGTTGTTTGTTTACAAAAAAATCAACATATTAATGGAAAATAATAGTCTGTCACCCAAGCTTAAATGGGATTGGGTTAGCAACAATTCACTGCGCAATCTCTTATATCTGGAATCTGGTTATAAATCAGAGCCACTGGCGGTTATCCCATTTTACTGCTGTACAACAATGCGGGTAGAAAGTCTTTTCAGACTTATTTTTTCAATAAACAGCGAGAGGCAGGGCATGGGGATGCCTACGTGTGTGCCAATCTGGAAGGAGCCCTCCCTGAGGAGCAGCTTGTCTGAGCACTGCTGCTCACGGCGGGGATGGTGGTGGGGCCGCAGCACGGGACCCATGTGGGGCTCTTCTGCACGGCTCCATGGCCCTGCTGACTGCTCCACATGCATATCAGCAGGCAGATTGCTCAATGGTTTGCAAAACCATCCTGATGAGAATTTTAAAGTCTCTTCCAATCCATAAATTATGTTTTCAGAGGCGCTATTTAAGTGGAGCTAACAAGCCGTTAGCGATAGACTGCTATCGGCCAGTCTGCAAAAATGCTGAAGCGTTGTTTGACAAGCAGGAGTGGTGACATTTCTGAAAGATTGTCACAACATTAGTTATTTAATATTGTACAGAAGTCAAAGACTCTTCCCTGCACAGGGATATTTCTATCACAGATTCAGCATACTAAATAATAAATACCGACAGGATTACTAGCAGCTAAAAGTGAGAACTAATTGACATTTTGGACACTATGGTAGGGGTCTAGTAAGCAAACCTTGTTGAAGTTTTGTTGAATATTCAGATACAGATGCTAAGCCGAGAACATAAGCAGCAAGTGATTAAAAAGGTAAATACTATTCAATTATAGTCTCAGTAGTTATGTTTTTCTGGTTATTTTTAAATCTACCTAAGGAGCAAATATTCATGATGTGATTTTTAAAACACAGTTCAATTAAACATAAATTGATTAATTTTAATCTTCTAGGAGCTTTCAGTAATTGTTTGAGATAATGAAATGAACATGTAAAATACCTAGAGGTTTGTAGTCACTGCAGTCCTCTTCTCTGGGAAGCAAAAATCAACGTTCTTGTCTATGTTGGACAGAACAGCCTAATAAATGAACACCACCCAAAAGGTTCATCTGTTCTCTCCAAGGCTGTACAGTAACTATGTTTGTTTGGGTTTTGGTTGGGATTTTGCTTTTCAGAAAATGTCATGCTCCTTTAATTAGTTGGACGTGTGTTTATTTTCTAGCTTCACTATACATTTACTACTTTTTACTCCATGTGGTACTGCAGAACCACTGAGGCACCTTGAAGGACACATAACTGCATCTGCTGCTGGCAGTCCAGCAGCTGCACTGCTGTCCAACAGGTCACAAATGCAGAACCCATGCAGGATCCAGAAAAAAACAAATCTGACTTGTCCATGCTGATGAAAGTCATCAAGGTTTTTAAAGCAATTTGCATCTTTGAACTTGAGATTTGATCACAACATGAAGGGTTAGCAAATGTGGGAGCTAGCACTGCAGTTTCTATTCTCACATGTCAGAGTAGGACTGCCAGTTTGTTTATCTTCAGTCAGCCAATTCTAGCTCTTTAATTCAAGGGGAGATCTTACGTGATATAGTCATGTGTAACAAAGGAAGACAGACTGCCTTCATGATAGGTAAACCTGTTAGTATACCTATCAGAATAGCAATCAAAATGAACATGGTAGATGAGCAGCCTCCAAAAATATCCTGAAGGCATGACAAGGTTATTTTTTCCTGGGCACAATATAATTACATAATACTGCTATGAGAAAGACGATTGTTGTATTCAAATTATCGTGGCAGCTGTAGATTTGCTTCAATAGCTTTATTAATGCAATCAGAGAATAATGCTCCAAGTCATCTTGAAAGCCCATAGCCCAATTCAGCCATGGCTTTCATCCTGTTGACATCAAAAGAATCAGTCAGTGAGTGCTGTCTGCTCCACCAGTCTCACAGGAGCAGAAGGGAGAGACAAAAGACATACGAGGTATCCTGGAAGACACAATGGCTTGTTTTTAGGATAATGTCAGGCTTCATCCCTAAACCCCATTGATCACTCCTTACTTGACCCGAAACTCTGCAAATTTTGCTCTTGACTTCCCTTAACCAAATAATTCCTCTTCTGCCACTGGGTGTTTTTTAGAAAGGGGCTCAGATAGAATTGAGCACAGGGACATTGGGAAGTGAGAATACCTCACCAAGCAACTCAGCTGAGATAGAAAACACAAGTTTGACAGAGATCATAACTGCATGAAGCATCTCAGCCTATGACACAAGGCCCAGACAATCATTTTGTTACAGGTAGAAAATCTTTGATTCTTATCAAGGAAGTAAAACTGGAAC